CAAACAAAATCAAACAGCGTCCTCACGCCATTTAGAGAATAGTTATTCATAATTATTAGCTAATATATAAATAATTGTAATGCCTATTTTAATTAAAAGATATAAAGACGTGTCTCGATGTTTGTATCGAATGCAGTTCGAAATTACTGAATACATTTTAAATTCGATTCTCTTACCATATGCTTTTAGACTCGTTCTAAAGATAATATGAATGTCATTTTATAGTTTGCATAATATATTACTAATAATTAATTGTTTATGTGAATTAATTATGATAGTCACAAATTTGACAAAACAAAATAAGTACAGGTAATTTATGGTGCCAAATAGAGGTTTGTGTGTATTTTTGAAAGCATTGCCTACGATTTTGATCTATTAATTTTAATCATTCTATACTAAAATCAGGAGGCGTGTTTAATCATAATTATAGAAACTCATAAAGTATATTATGTAATATAATTATAATTTTGTTACAAAACATTTCTAATTTCGATTTTTTTTTGTCTTCCTTTAATCAGGGTGCTAGGTATATAAATGAATTTATGTAATAGGCTACTTTATATTATTATATAATGCTTATTTTACACATATGCTTACGGTTTTGCTCAATGAGTCGTTTCAAAAACTAATTGCATAACAAAACAATTATCAAGATCGTTATTAAGAAATAACATTGTTTATTTTTTTAATTTTAACTTCCCGAAGGATAAGTTTGTTTTCATCAAAAAATCCGATTCGATAACTTTGTTTTCTCGACGTTTCAAGCAATTTTAAATCGAATGAGACCAAATTTGGAAAAAATGTGTGTGTGTATGTGTGTGTGTGAACAGATTTTTTGTCGCAAATCAAGCCATTCGATGTATCTCGATGAGGATTAGGGTTTTTGAGTTTTGAGCGAAAATCGGCTGGGCTGTTTCGTTGTAAATCGCAGAAAAGTGAAAAATATTTTGTCCACGTTTTAGCTCGCAATTCTGAATCGATTTTGAAAATTCAAAAACCGTTTGATAGATATTGCTGATTAGTTTTTGGTAAAGATCGGCCGGGCCATTTTCTTGTAATAACGTTTAAAAAAAAAACAATTTCGACGATTTTTATGATTTTTTTTGACGGTAGACACCATAGTCTTCTAGATCATACTAAAATATTACCGCCATACGACAACTCATTTAGCTTTAAAAATTCGTCAAAGTTTGCGAAAATTGGTATTGTTTTTTTGGCATTTGTCAAAATTAGACCTTTCATCGACGTTTGCTCAAAAACGCCTGAACCGATTTCAGAAATTTAAGAGCCATTCGATGTATCTCAATGAGCACTATAGCTTGTCAGTTTTGTGAGACGATCTGCCGAGCCATTTCTTTGTAATTTGAAAAAAGTGTTAAACTTTTCGTCCACATTAAAGCTCGATTTTAAAAAATCAAAATCTGTTCGAAAGATATTAGTTGGGAATAATACTGATTGGTTTTAGGTGAAAATCTACCAAGCCATTTTCTTGTAATTAACTGTTGAAAAAAAATTAAGTAAATTTTTATGAAACTTTTTTTGGCGATATATATCATGTTCTTATAAAACTTACTGAAATATTGCGGCCTTACAAGTCGTTTAGTTTTAAAAATTCATCAAAGTTTGAGAAAATGAGTAGTTTTTTTAACGTTTGTTAAAATTATACGATTTACTTAGTATAATGTT